CATCTATTCCCCTTGAAGAGCTGAGATTCTGTATTACCTGCCCCAATAACAATCTGGAGAAGGATTTGGGCATAAACAGGGTGCTGGCTATAGCTAAAACGTATGTGATTACATACACCAGGTAGTTCCAACATATGATTTCAGTCTGTCTTCAAAGTCCTACTGATGTGAATACTACCATGAAATAACATTGAACGTTTTTTTCCTGTCATTTAAACACGTGCTGTGTGTCCACTAAGATGTAGACACGTAAACAGCTACGTGCATGAGAAGAGGTACATGTATACCTAATTCATATCTGCATGGATGTACCATATATGCACACTCTCATGCTTTCTTGAACATTAGCTTTCCAAAGGTGATTATGGTCAACTTTTCTCTGTACTTTTACCTACATGGGGTGGCATTTCTGAAACAGATGATGAGAAAAGGGCATTTTAGAAATGACAACTCTGCAGCAAATCGTGTTCTTGTTCAGTATTAGAATGTTAAACTATACCCCCGAGAGCTGCTTTGGAAAGGAAAGCTTAAATATTGTCCTCCACAAAGGGTATGCCGGAACAATAAGGTTTCATAAAACATTAACACTAAAATAGTCAAAACATCCTTGGATTTGCTCTATCAAAATCATGCCCTCTTTTTTTTTAATACTAGCACCGGTGGCAATATCAATTTCTAAATATTCCCTTTCTTGAACACTGCTACTGCTAGCAAAACAGGGACACAGTTGAAGACAAGCAGGCTTATTTTACTAAATAATGTAACTAGTTATTTTTGATGTATTAGTCTGATTTACTGTTTCCAAACAAATTTTTCATTTTAAGTGCAAAAAGTTGATTTCTATGGTCTGGTTGATGTTTTTTCATGCATGCAAATTTTTTAGAGAACATTTTGTCTTTAGCTTCCTGTTATGCACATTTTTAAGAGCTTAATGTTTCCTGCCTCCACTTAATATGAAAGAACATTGCACATTTTTGCTGAATGTCAATGAGATAGTTACATTACAGAAATCGTGCCTAAACGACTCTGATACTGTGACTAGGTATCAGCAGAGTTCCACCCCATAATGGAAAAGAGTTTAATTAATATAATGCAACCAATCTAAAGTGGAACCTCCCCAAAATACAGTGCAAAGAGTAGGAAACTCAGCCACCAGTAAATGTTGAATTAAGCATGGCTCTCTTATTCAAAAGATAAATAAAATAAAATAAAATAAAATAGAAAAGTCTTGCAGAGGCTTCATAAATATATTTACAATTTATTTAGGTCAGTTAATAGGGGTTTTGTCTCATCAGGCAGGAGACGAAGCAGCATCGGCCTCTCCCTAAGCACCTTCAGTATTTTACTAACGAAGTTACAGTACATCGGAATATTTTAATCTGACACAAAGAACAACAATAGATCTGACTGCTGGGCTGATAATCTTCTTATCACACCCTGTGAAACCTAGCTCTAATATTTGACTGAGCCTCCATTACTCGGCAACACATTCTAAAAAGGCCAACAATGGAGAGAGAATGAAGTGGAGTGTGGAAGTACCTCCATATCTACATAAAAGAGATTAGAGGCGACAGCGTTCCATTTTACAGCTCAATCATATTGTGTTAGCATGCGCTTATCCGAGCGCGGATGAAATTGAAAGAGAAATAAAAAAGAGTCAGGCAGATAGGAACCAGAAAAGCGAGGCATGAGCAATTTCCAAGGATATAAAAGGATGCTAATGGCGGGGCCCTGTCATTCTTAAAAAGGGCTATTAGGGCACCATCATCTGTTCTTGTGCCCTTACGCTCCTCTAACTAAAGTCAAGCATTTCCTAATGCCATTGTGATCTTTTTCTTCTTCAGATAAGACATGGTCATGTTTCATAACAACACACTTTCCATTTATTTGATTTATAAATGCAAGGAGACTAATTCTATTTACTGATAAAGGCTTTCCATATATATTTTTCTTTCAATATTTCCTTTTGTAGATGGCATAGACTTTTTGTTCAATAAAAGCAACTACTGAAATGTTTCCAATAGCACAAAAATACTAATGATTTTATGAAAGCATTTGAACTTTGTATAATTTTAAAACATTTTTTAGTCCATGACTGCAATGGGAAACAGTTGGCCAAGGCAGAATGCATACTGCATTGTTACCTTTTTATAGATAATCTCATTAAAAGACTTTCTGTTAGAATAGCAAAAACATTATTTTGGGTTCTTCCACAAAGACAAATTTTACTTTGAAGTACAATGCTTTACAGCCGAGATCTTTATTAGTTATTAAGCACCTGATATGTAAGGGCCTTTAATTATACTGAACCTTAAGAAATCACTATAGTAAAGAAAGATTTGCTGATTGCTGCTTTGCTGTGCTAGGCACAAATTCACTACTAGTATAATTAATCGATTCCAAGAGATTTACACCAAGGATTTACTTAGTCCGCTAAGCTACAGCTAACTTTTATGCAATTTGCTCTCTTTTTCTAACTCATCCTTTTTCCAATTCTGTTATGTTTCTGCCTACAGTAACATTTCTTAGCTTAGAAAACAGTCAGCTAGCACCAACCCAGACTCTTCTACAAGTTGTTTTGTGCCAGACATTAGCTGAGTGTAGGCAGTCCGAGTTCAGCAATACTCCATCATTCAAAACCAAGCTACAAAAGCTCATCACATTTGCCCTTTAGCATGTCAAGCCCTTTTGCATTTTGATTTTTGTGATCAAATGCCAGACAACAACAAGCACAGATTTTATCACTGCCCTCCATTACCAGAAGGCTTATAAAAAGATTGTCTTTATTGCCTTTTTTTTTTTCCTTCTCATTCCTAAACAGGGTCAGGTGAGTAAACTTAGCTAGTGTGGCTTTACCACAGCAGGTGTGTTTTTGAGTTTACCTTGTAATGAAAGGCTGCCTCATGGCAGAAATGTTCCTCGACTGGTTCAGATCGCGGACTTTAAATTTTCAAGGCCAGTTTATAGCATCCAATACTTTTTCCACGCTAACCAAAGCCATCATTTTAAAGGCTGCTCAGTCTCATCCCTCTGCTCTTCCTACCCCTCTGCCAAATCAAAGCTACACAACACATTCACAAATCAAACTGACAAAAGTTCCCCTGCAACTACTATGCGGCATGGCTGACTTCTTTGAGAGCTACTCTATTTTGGTTAAGGTGATCGAGGTGTCTTCCAAAGATGAAACTCAAACTCACTTATTTAACTCATTTTGACTTAATTTGGGGTGCTTTATTAGCAACCAGTGTAAGACAAAGTAGCTAGTATAATATAGAGTGATGTTTAAATTAGTTTACAATTTGCTTGGGCTCATCTAGAACTGCTCTGAACAAAGCCATTCAGAAATGTCAGCTGTGTTCCTAACCACTGTAACAAATTGTTGCCTGAACGCTGCACACCTAATGACTTCAAATTAGCTTCACTGCGATATTGCCTGACAGTTCGTTACGACTGTTAGCAACATAGCTGGCGTATCATGACCAATAAATTGGTTTCAGTGTGGGCTGGGAAAGGGACTTCCATCAATTTGATTAAAGAAATTACTGTAGCATTCAAAGCATAAAGACAAACTAGTTTAAGGAGACAGAAATAAGTTAACTGTACCAGAAAAACATTGCTTGCAATACAAAAGCTTGTTTATATACCATTTGTGGCACAGAGAATGACTAAATTTCAACTGTGTCGCATAGTGACTATTTTAGAGTCTGTAGGTTGTTGTCGCTCATCTAAAGTAAAATAACGTTCCCTAAATGTACAAAGTACTTTATCATTATTCTTTGTTAGTGTTTGTATTTATCGAAGATGACCCAGAAGCACCCACCAGAAGAACTGAGGCCTCGTGCTGGTTAGCACAAGGAAAAAATCCCAGGAATACTATTTCTTTCTATTTCTTTGTGATTTCTTTTGATACTAGAAATAAAATATATTTAACTTTGATAAAGAAACAACTTACTGGATTATTTATTCTATTATTAAGGTATCCCAAAATCACATCTAAAATCAGGATGATATATTACTTAGAGGAATTAAAGGTTATCCATTCTTATGTTCAATAAGGCTCCACGATCAAAATTAGAAAACTAGCAAGCTGATAAAAACACACCAACATGCTCACTCTTCTGCTGGACTAGAAAAATACCTTAAGAAACAAGAAAAAAAGCCAATCTTTTTTGTGTGACTTCACCATTTCTGAAAGGTTACAGACTGAGAACCCTGTAGACTCTCTATAAGCTTGCCTGCTGGCCCACAGAGCAAGCACAAATACCGCAGCAATGGGGGGAAATAAAATATACCTGAAATGTTGTCTGAAGAAATCGCTAACCTTCTGAGAAACTGCTTTTGATGACCCCCCACTTTTCTTGCTAACAAGACTGTCAGTCAGCTTTTATAATATCAACACATTTACATGATGGAGACCGCAGTCCACTTCATGGAGATCAAGGAACTACTAAGCTATAAGAAAAGACATTTTGGTACAATTCAGTTCTTTGTACTGAACTGCTGTTACAATTCAGTTCTCACACTAGTTTGTTCAATGAAGTGAACAATTCCTCTGTGCCATACCAAAATACAACTGAATTTTTGCACCTCCTGTGGTCAGTATAAGATAGTGCTGCCTTAATGGAATAGAGGAACCAGACTTACATTCCACTACCGCTGAATGCGATGAGTACAGAGGAGAGCACTTACACTACCCTTCATACCAGGCTAATGCTCTAGATAGCAAGGCAAGTTTATCTTAATAGAAGTAATACATGAAGAGAATTTATTCACTGAGCAGCATGTAAAACTTATTAACATAGTAACAGTCATAGCAACAATAATACTATTTCCAAGGTACGATATATTATCATCTAACCTATGTCCTATGTGAATAATCTGGAGTCTTAAGAAAACTTTACGCATTGTAGTGAGAGAACAGATCAGATTTTTTACCAGAACAGAACAACCCATGCGATGATTTCTGTATGTCATCTATTTGCAATAAATACTGTATGTACCTGGAATATGCTTAGCCCATCCAATGATCACCACCAGTTCTCTGTCTGCCAGGTCACAAAGAGTGGTAAGTGCTTTGATGTCACTGTCTGGAACAGTGGGGTCAGGCATAGCGTAGATCTTCTCTGGTTCAGCCACCAGCAAATGGGAGACAATCTTGTTATCTGTAAAAACGGTCCAGAACAGCACAAGATCACCAGTAGCATCATTCTACTTTTCAAACAGATGGCTCATATTTCAAAGGGCACAAGAATTTGTCTTAAGAAACTGGACCTAATTAAACCTTATTGTAACTTCACTGGCTTCTACAAGCAGTTACAGCATAACAAATCTGATCCACTAACAATGTTTATCAAGCTAGACGTGTATGTTCTTAAGTAAGTAGATTTAATGGCATGTAGAAAGACATGATCACCTCCTAATATCGGAATACAAACTTGGTAGAAAAAAATTCATGCATTATAATGTATTTTGGACTGTGCAAATAGAAAAGTTTTGCCTTCCTCTAATTACTTGCAACCCTCCCCAAAGGCAGGTGTATTTTTTGAGGGAGTAAATATCACAAGCAATTAGTCAGTTACCGAAATCTGTAACTTCGGTCAGCGATTCCACCTACTGTTCTTTGTTTTAGATGTGACTGTTAAACTGTTGCAACAGAAATGGTCTCAGGACTTTTTCAGTGCTCATTATCCTATATATCTTATCTTAGGGGTATCCTGCCTGTTGACATGTTAAGAGTGAATCTGTACACCTTGGGGCCTATGCTGTGAGAAAAGCGGGGTTGTCATATATTTGCTTTTCAGTGAAACACACAAATTTAGAATCATGTATAAAATTAGCTGCTTTAAGTACAAAAGAGCCAGTCAGGAATAGCTATTAAAATCAATGAGAATAATGAGTGTAAAACTAAGGAAAGTATCAATAGATGCAGACCCCACCTTAGAAAACCGGTTTTGTGCAAAGAATGATAGTTTATTATATTCACACACTGGTTATTTTTATCTATTTTCATTCACGTGTTTAATATTTACTTTTTCATCCAGATGAATTGTGAAATCTATTTGGAATGATCATTTAAGTTGTAAGGAAAAGCGGGGAAAAAAAAAGGAGTAGAAGAGCCTGCAAGATTTACAATACAGTGTTGCTATTCTATATTCTGTAAGTAGTAAACATAAAATGAGCATTATATCCACATGGAGGCACAATGGAAATACCTCTATACAGGAGCCTGATTTGTTACTCTGAGAAGGCAGAACTGAAAAATGGGAAAAGGACTAATTCATTAAGCCTCCTAATACAGGATACGTTACTATACTTCCCAATATATTTATGTTTTACCTTTCATGGTAGGTACATCTTGTGACCTCAAATGCACCACCAGAATTTAAAGCCCAAATATCACCCTTTAGTGAATTTACACTTATCTGTTCCCTTCCTTAGGATAAAGAGTCATGGGGCTTGATATAAAAGGGGTTCCACTGCGAGAAGGTGTGGAGTGTTTTCTGACTGCAGAGAAAGCTGATAGAAGCAGTATCATTTTCCCCTTCTGCATGTAAATGAGAGGATGGACCACAATGTCCTCCTGTGGGGGAGCTGCAATGGAAGCTGACGGGGATGTGACTTGCCCAAGAGTGTCAGAGAGGCTCCCTCCCAGCCCATGACAGATTTCCATAAAATACTCACTTGATTCAGATTTCTGATACTTTACTGCTCTCTTGTGACATAGACTCCTCGATTCTGATCTACTGTCTCTACAATTTTTGCCTCATTCCAAATTTGTGTGTCAGAAGTTGTGATCTATGTTAGCCTTTCATAAAGTAAGTGCAAGAGCCAACTGGAAACCATCACATCAAGCATGTTTTATTACAAGGGGATATATTCATGCTTTATATGAACTATAGGAACCGTGCCAACGGAGTAATTCTTGATCTCAATATTCTACTGATTATCAAACTGATTAATGAGGAATTCTATTCTTATTTAAAGATGACAGATGGTAGTTTTAACTTATATTGGCAAACAGCCTTTGCACATTTTTTTTTTATTTTTTAAACAGTCTTTTCATATCCTGTTTAATTTCACACAGAAAACATCATCTTTTTAAGTAAGAAAAGACAACATTGCTTCTTCCCAATTCCAGTATTTTTACATGTATTGAAAAGTAGGATAAATAAATTAGAGTTTCTTAGTATCAAAACACATGTAGCTGAGGACTTCAACTTTGTGGTTTTTTAACCAGTGATAAATGAATGAAGAAGCACCCACATCCCCAAGTTCTGGGTTTTTTTTTCCCCTGCAAACAGAAGAAATAGCCAAAGAACCTCTTTCATTTTTTTGTTAGGTTCCTCACCGATGGCTTTTTGTAGATGATTCAGGAATATTGTATATTTTGACTCAGGAGTCGCAAAACCTCAAATTCTTTTTATTTTTGCAATCAACAAGATCTACAGGCAAGCCACTAGATTCCGTGGTGAAGCTGGAAAATAAAATAGAGACCAGAAGTAGGTGTAGGAAAGATTTTTATAGGGGTAAAAAGCCACCTGTACTGGAGCGCACATTAGTATAGACCATAGGAAAATTTTGAATGTACTCGGAAAGCTCCAGCACTCAGGAAATTGAATAGCCATAAGCACTGTTTCTAGGTAAGTCTTATTTAGTGTTTCCCTAATTAGAATCAATAGAACCCAATTTTCATTCCTGTGCCTTTGTTACGCACAAACTATCAGTCAGGGTCCAGAAAATCTCCCAGGCTACTTCCACACAAAACCGATTCAACTGTTTGCAGTCTTGACACTTAATCTGAGAGGATTTGAAAATTAAGTTTTATAAAGGTTTGTTACAAAAATGTTTGTAATTGGACGACCTAAGGAAAATGAAGGGAGGCACTTAGATAATGAGTAATGATTTATAAGGAGGTTAGTTTATCTCAGATAAATGGAGCTTACAGAAATCGGTGTAGTTATCGTCTTAAAGGTAATGTAATGCACTACTTTGCAGTAATCTTGGGTTTACACAGAGGTTCTTGTGTTTCAGTGCAACAGCGTTAACCTCTGTTCACACCAAAGGGCTTGGGGTTTTTGGGTTGGATTTTTTTTTTCGCCTGTTTGGTCTTGGCTTTTTTGGCATGCTAGGCTATCAACATTTCTACTCAATGACAATATCAAGCAAATGAAAAACTGACAATCTGTGCACCCAGGAAAACTAAACCTCTAATGAAATTAAGCATTAGAGTTTATTAAATTTTATTGTATTATCAGAAAGTTTTTATTATAATGTGCAAAATCTGCTTAGCGCAGCCCTAGATTGTATTTACAGAACGGTGAGGCAGCTTATGGAGGCTGAGTAGAAGATGCCAGATTGGACAATTGAAGGAATATAATCAGCATAATGTTTTTTGGAAAGGCAAAAGGAAACTATGCCATATGTTCAGTTAAGCCTTAATTTTATGTAAAACTGGCTGTTTTTTCTTTGACACAGCTAAAATGCCCTTTCACTTACAGTTCAAAGACTGTTTATTTGCTCTCCAGATCCCCATATGCTCAAACGTATTGTACACAGCACTGTCCCCTACTGGGGAACACAAATAGAAACAAATTCCATTTTCCATACAGCCAGGTATTTTCAAGAGCCTAAAACTGACATGTGTGTTGTCAGAGGCACAGGGGCGGAGGCAAATGGGAGACAAGGAGGAGCTTGCCCTCCTTATTTCTCTGGCTTACTTCTCTATTTTAGGAGCAAATTAACCTTCCCGGCAGGAGCAACTGGATGTGTGTACTCTCATTTGAATTCAGAAGAATTTACAACACTTAATACAGCGTGCGTGCCTTTGCAGGGTAATACACTAGCCTCTTGCACTACAGCTATAATGCTATTAAATTTACTTCATGGAATTAGTACAGTCGCTGCTTGAGTTTATATAAGCTGCAAAGCAAAACCCCTAACTATTTTTAGTTAATCGCAAAGAGGATGGAACTTGTATTTTAGCAATGAGATGATCAGCTCTCTCTCTCTTTCTCTTAATTTCAGCCTGGCGAGATACAATCAAGGACATTATTAAAACATAACAAAACAAAGGAAAAAAATCCATAAGGGTACTAGAGCCCAAACTACCAATCTATGCTTGTTATTAGTGTGGCATATTGCTGTTTTAATCTAATGCTAGGCAGTGTATTAATCTATAGGTATAAATTAATGAGGCTCTTAATGTATTTTCATTGGGAGGTTGAGCAGTCAAACTCATTTAGTTAGTGAAAACTACAAAAACCACTTTCTTGTGAAATCTGAAACTAGCAGCTTCAATGAACTAATGAGCACAGTATGAACCATTTTATGTACCACTGAAAATAAAGATAACCTGTAAATGTAAAATTTGCACTGCATAAACCATGCTTTTATACACTTCTACTTGTAAAAATATTCTTTGTTCAACTCGACTTGAGAAAGATGAGCATATTTAAAACAAAATATGTTAACAGCTAAATGGATATAGTGTTCATGGTAATATCTTCTGACCAAACCCTTGTCCCAGTCAGAAGGAGTTTAGCAAACACAGCTAGGAGTAATACCTTGTATTCAAAGAGAAATTTTGTCTGTCTAGTGTACTCACATGGCTTTTTTGCTGGCTGAACTAGCTGAGGGTTCAGGTAGGGGCTATTCTCTGCATCTATTCTGCGCTTGTACTTCTGGCGACCTCCACGTACTCTGTCTAGGCGGACACCTACATTGGGAAAAACAAGCAAACGTAATTAAATATGAGGATGCCTCTCAGGTAACAATCTTCTATCTCCTGCCTTCCAATATTTAAAATGCATGTTTATTTCAAAAGACTAATTTTAGAAAGCAAGGGAAAGCAGCACTACAAGTATTTGCAAGCTGTTTAGATTTTCACACATGCAAGACTACGTATACAACATATTTCCTGTTCGTTTAAAACCATTTGTTCATTTTTACGTATTATTAAAAACAGCTAACAAGTTTAGTTTCCATTTGAAACAGTCTGATCTTAAGTCGTCTTTGCCAGAAGCAGAAGTTCAAAGCTGTAATAAACACCATGGATATACAAGGCTAACATTATGAGTAGAGAAGTACAGAGAATTAGAACTTTAGGAACAATGGGTGCTGTATACAGTTTAGATAGTCAAAACCAATGCTTTTCATTAACATGGATTAACATGCCCAGAGGATACAAAGTAAGTATCCTTAGTAAAATAAGAACATCTATGTGGCTTAAAGACCCAAAATGGTTCATGAGGGTTTGAAAGAAATTGTATGGGTGTTCATTTGGATGTCATCAATGATGAATTAACATTTGTGTTCTACCTCCAAATAGTTCATTGCTTCAATAAAACATTCTGCTACCTGTTTTGTATGGATGTATAGGAGTTTACTTTCCTGAAAAAAGCTACAGCTGTTCTCACAGACAAAATGAAAAAAGGAGGGGAAAAGAAAGATGGTAGGTCCTACAAAACAATGAAGGATTTTTATTTCCTTCTGAGTCACCCAGGCAGATTTCCAGACAACCGGGATGAATGTCAGTATAACTAAGTAGTAACGTAACACTGAAGTTGAAAAACTCAGCACATATGCAGGGCAACAGGACAAATAATACCAAGTGCAAATTTGTCCCTGATGACATGGATTTAACTAGACAAGAACGCAAGGACACATTATGTATCAATGATCCCTGTGAGCGATGTAACAAAGTGCAGCTCACTTTCTCACTTTTCTTTTCATTGTCTATTTTAGCTCTCCTCCCTCTATTTACCTTTCTATTGCCATTGTTGTGCCCTGCCCTACTACTTCCCATCTCCCTGTTCTCTGCCTCGCAGGAAATACCTCCAGAACTGGCTTCTGGACTGCAGAGAAGCCACTGCCAAAGAACTTACAGTTTATGTGCACAGCAAGAAGAACACAGCACAGCATTTACGTGCTGCCCATGAACCTGCACTGGTAGCACAGTCTCGTTACCAGGAAACGTCTGTCAGTCCTCTTTCGTCCAAAGAGGATTGACTGGGTTTTGGTGAAGAAAAGCCATTTTGCCAAACAGCCAGAAATCCAAGGCCAGCTCTTGTCATTTTGTTTTTGTTTCTTCTTTCATATTTCTTGCTTTTTTGCTTTTCCTGTTCTACTCTCCAAGCTGGCGTGAAAACCAGAACACTCACTAGCTGAACCAAGGAAGACGGCAGTTTACAGATCCAAGTCTGTACTCTTCTACTGGCAGGGAAGGCTTTGCAGGCATGGGTTCTCATTCACCCAGATGGACTGTTGATATTCATAAAGGTTAGTAACACAGGAGATACTTCACTTAAGGTCACAATCAATGTCTGTAACTGTAACGCAGTGAATTGTATGCAACAGTGCTCAATACTTCTTGCTCACCAGGGAAGTGGGTAATGATCACCTGTATTTAACAGTGAAATTCCATTCAGTTTACTGCAGAAGACTCTGTATTTCACTCCCCCAAACTCAAGAAGTACACTTCTTATTGTATGTTACCAATTATACTTTTGTGAATCACATTATATAAATAATAAAACTAATCAACCACATACCCGAACAGGTCAGTGTGTAATTATGAATGAAATCTTATTTATGGCATTTACCTATATCACTACCAAACTTGTAACTGATTTGTAGTCTAAGCTATTTGATGAAATTCATGGTGATTCAATCAACAAAGCGTGGTTATTTTTTGTTCGTTTTTAAAGTAGAAACTTTAAAATATGTAGAAATGCATGAACTACAAGACCACTTTAAAAACTGATAGTCAAAAGCTTTGCAGAGTTAATGATAACTCAGTGTTCTCCACCCTTGAATCGGGAGTTTGAGCTACACCTGAAGCAAATAGCATCCAGGACAATACACTGCCATAAAAACAAATAGCAAAAGACCAAGGTTTGACAGTTGAATATACAGAAATAGGTACAGGATTAGAACAAGCCACATGCAATATTGGTGGGATTATGAAAAAGACTGCCCAGCATTTGAAGAAAAATAGAAAGAAAATGATTTCTGCATAATTCAGATGCTATCCTTCTTTCTGCTTGGGAGCAGATTTCATAGTGATAAAAGATGGATAGCATCAGACAGAAGTATGTTTAATCAAAAAGTAATGGAACTGAAGCTTAAATTAAAATAATATAAATCTACCAAGATGAACAGTTTTTTTACCTCCTTTGCATTTGCCAAGATACACATGCAAGTCATTCACACACTCAATGGAAGGACATACAGACGAATGTCACAATACCAAAATTATACATAGCTCCATGTACTCACCTATTATACATATATAATACAGCTATATATTATATAGCTATACCTATAAATATAGCAACTTACTTTTTTAAAAAAGAAAAAACTATAATTCTAAATAACTGGGGAGTAACGGTATTGCACATTTTAAAATTACCTAAATCTATAATATAACTAATTCCAATTCTAACGTGAAAACATTTTTTATAACATATTACCAACAGAATATAAATTAGAGGTTTATAACCCTTTCATTAAAACCGATACGGAGTTTACCATCATTTTCGCTCCTAAGCTTTCCTTGCTCATAGTACCATTACAAAGTAGCTATCTTTGAATGAATTTCTGATAATCTAACATACCCTAAGTGGTATTTTACTTCCCAAGAGTCTTGAAAAAAGTAAACACAATGCAAGACACCACTTAAGAAAGGACACCCATCTAATATTCCATAAAAACTTGTTGGAGTTTGGCAGGTACCAAACTGAAATCCAGAGATTCCTGTGTATATGTATATATTTTCCCCTGTAACTCCCATCGTTTGTATGAGAGAATTCATTACATAAAGATAAGTTTATCTGCTCTCGAGACAGTAACAGCTGATGCCTTCTTTGTTAGAAAAACAAAGGGAAGAAAGAAAAACAATTTTGTCCACAAAGATCTTCATTTGGGGGGAGGGGCTCAACATCTTGATGACTCAGAGGTAATTGCTATAATTCAACACATACTCTGTACTCAGACTATTAAAGAGGATATTGTGGCATCTAGCTAGCGTACAGGGAGAAGTTAAGTAGACCTCTGCTTTAGCTCTGCTGTGCATGGAGCTTGCCACAGTCTCCAGCAACTCTATTCACTCACCCTATCAGTCCTCAGCCGTAAAGCGAAAAGAAAGATATCCACCCCACCTATATAAACTAATGGCACATCTCCGAATGAATTGCACTGCACGTATTATCGTTACAGTTTTTTAGGGTCAAAACATCCATTAATGTCACTGAACAAAGCTCCACTGAAGACAAGCAAGTTGATTCTCTGCATTCCCCAACACTGAGTTTCATTTTAAAATTCTTCAACAGAAAAACAAAACCAAAAGCCCAAATGAGAAAAATAGGGATGACCACAGGGTACAAATAGAAAGAACAGGCCTGTTACCAGTTATGATACCAGCTACTTTAAACAGTCAAGTGCAACACATTCACTTTACATCTTAGGACAGGCACAACTCATGATCTCATCTGTTCAGGAGTGATGAGTAGTCACACATTTTGACATGATTTAGAAAGCTCAGAAGATAAGGGTTAGCCTAGCATTGTAAGATATGGAAAGATGGAAACTATGTAAATCAATACAATTGCTACTTTTTTTCAAAGACGGCAATTACACATACTGATACAGCCTAAAAACTTCTCCAGCTGGCCTTAAGGAAGAAAAATGGTCTCATAGTTGCTATACGAGCTTCTACAAAAAAGGTTCACCTCCTGGTTCCTCACACAATCTTTGCATGATTTCTGTCAAATGCTTACCAACACACAACAAAATTATATTGGGCATTTGCTCTAAAGTGAAAGTGTCCACATAGTCTTGCACAGAAATAACTGAAGACTAGGGCTGATGTACACAATGAGCTACCCACCAGGTACTTCAATCAAAACAACTTAACATAGGCAAACCTGAACTCTCCATTTTCTCTGGATTTCCTCATCTGTTCCTTCCTCACCAACAGTCACAAATTATTATTCCTGTTCTGTAGTCCCTTTCTCACATTGCCTTGAAGCCCTCGCGTAGGCAGGTACCCACTGTGACTGGTGCTATATAATAAAAAAGATTGCCCTTACCCCAATATATCATTCTTTTTGTAATTCGGGTCCTCAGTATGACAATCCTATTTAACAATGTCATCTATTTTTCCATGCAGATCCAAGCCATATCCAAAGTATACTAGTTATTCCTTCATAATCTACCTCTCTTCTTCTTTTCCATTCCCTCCTTCTTACCTGGGCTACAAGTCTCCAGTGTTCACTTGTCCCACAAACATTCTTGTCCTTTCCACGAAGCTCTATACCCACAGGAAATCCTCAGGCTAACTTTGAAGGCATTTGCCCAATCCTTCAAATCAAGACCTACCAATACCAGGACTGCCTGTAAGAAATCGCTTATTACTTACAATCAGGGATAGCTTTTTATTTTGGAAAAAATAAATCTAATTCACTTAAATACAAACTAATATCGAAATAAATCCAAACTCCTTCTCTACCTTCCAGTACGTCAGTAAAGAACAGGTTTGAGGTCAGAATCAAATCCGCAATTTTGACTTCTTACGGAAATTTCAAATTCTGCTCCCCTTCCATCCTCCCTACATGAGAGATTTATGGCAAGCAGATACGTTCTACACCAACACCGTTCTGGCAAGCTCCACCTCTAACAGCACTCGATATGTACTAAATATATTCCTATCTCATTTTT